TATATATATATATATATATATATATATATATATATATATATATATATATATATATATACATATATTTAAGTTTAGAATTCAATGATCTTCCTAAATGTTTTGCAGGAAATAAAACCATGCATAATTTGTTAGTTATTGTGCCATATTGTGATCTTGAGTTTGTAATGGGTAGGCGACAAGGGGATCTTGAACTTTTGGTTACAAGTTGTTGACTATGATATAGGAAAAGGCTAGTAGAACTCAGTTAAAAATGTAGTTATACACATATTTTGAGATTGGCAGAGCTTGATATGGTTTTTGGTATGTAGAGGAAATTCGGCTCTCTTTGCCAATCTTGAGTTCTTCTAAACAAAATACCAAAAAAGAACCTGTAATCACTGAAAGGAAAGGAAGTGTGCAAACATATGGATCCATGATAACCTAGTTGTTGGGAGGGAATGAGATTCTTTTTTTTTTTCTGTTTAAGTATGACTTCAATCATACAATGTTTAGGTTGTTATTGGGTTGCTGAAGCATTAATAGTTCACTAAGTATGTCTGAAATGGTTTTCAGGTAGTTAATATCAGCGGGGATACTCCGGAGCCTAATAGTACTTCATCGTACCATTGCAAGTAGGCTTTATATGAGCATTTATTGATTTGATTTTATTCTGTTACCTATAATTCGTTCACTCTGAATTGTCTAAGTTTTTCAAAACTCTTATCAGTGTTATGAGGCACATACCCCTAGATTCAATCGATCCATCCTTGGCTATTGGATTTTACTGCCGAGACAAAGGTTTGCTGGTTACTTTGGCTTAATTTCTTGAGTTCAATAATTATGGCTAATATGTAAGCTTTCTCATCGTCAATGGTGTTTGGCAGATGATTTTGACGATTTCTGCTCCCATGCTTCCAAGCTTGCAGAAGAATCAAACGGGGCACCATTGTTCACTGTAGCTAAGTCTCGGAGTTTCTCAAAGCAAGTCTCTAGTAATGATGTCTCAGGTGACAACACTGGATTCGAAGAGGATGCTTTCCTTGGCACCGACCATGTTAACGATGCAGGAACCAATGAGGATGATTGGCAACTCTTATAAATGCCATTGCCAGACAGAGATTATGACACAGATTCAAAGCACTGCGTCAACAAATTGTTGCTTGGTTCTCACGGGCCTAATTGCCACTGCATGTTGGGTTGATCTCTGGCATGAGGCTCCCACTCTTCAAACATTGTTTAATAGTCCTGTAGAAAGTAATTTAAACTCATTATGATTCTTTGGCTTAAATCGTTATGTGCTCATTTGTTTATATAACTAACCAGAATTTGTTGTACATTACAGCAGCTAGTTTGATCATATTTGTTGCGTTTACCCCTTTATTGGCTACAAAAATGTAGTGGATAGTACTGTGGGGCTACAAATAAATGGTAGAAAGCAGTTCATGTTGAGATGGAATGTTTTCTTTAGAAGACATTATAAACTAATCACTTGAGTCCCTTGATATAAACTATGGTTCAAGTTTTCTGCTAGCTGTTCTGCAGTGATGTTGCATTAGCCACTCATGTGAATGATGAGTATGTGTGTTTGGTTAGACATTTAAGCATCTGTTTCACATGCATTAAGAAATCAAATGTGATTGAAGAAATTTGATGGATTTAGGTTTAGCACATTGAACATTTTTATAATCGCATCTTATGACATGTCAATAATGCTATCACTTCCATGTGTTGTATTTGGATACTCAAGCTTTGCTAGTTAGCTTGTTGGAGATCATTTCAGTGGATGTTCTCTCAATTTATAAACTATGTTAGAGGGCTTTGAAATGATAATATAGTTATGAATCACCTGGGTTACATAGTTTGACTTTCAACCGAATCTAATGGTTAAATTATAGTAACTAAGTCTCTCTAATGAACTTATCAATGACAAAAATATCTGAATAATTTGATCTGGAAAAATCAAAGTTCCAAACACAGGTAAAGCTTTCCTTTGAAGTGTTTTGCCACTTGCAGAAAATCAGAATAAGCGAATATATTCTGTCAAGCATTTGTGAAGTAATGCATCATGTGCTGATAAAGTAGAATCAAATGTGTACCTCTTTATTATATTCCAATGACTCAAATTAGTACAAGCCAGCTAATTAAACTGCTAGTAAGCAACGCCATATTCAGGAAAATGGAATGGTGGATTCGTTCAATTTGAGCTTAGCAAATTAGAAATGATAATAGTATTCAAAGATACACAGAAGAAATAAGATGATAGTAAAATGATTCAAGTGTGTTTATATTTTAAAAGATAATATCATGTCACTCTTAATGTATAAACAGGGTATAAAATAATTTTTGGTTAATATAGTTTTTCTAAACATAATTAAAGTGAAAAGATTTTTAATTTAATATTGAGTTTTCAAAATAAATTATTGAATTAAAATTGTTTGAATAGTATAATAGTTTCTAGGATTATACTGGTACAATAATGTAATCATGCATATCTGAATGTACATACTCTTATTTAATCTCCCACTTTTTTTCAATATTTCTCTGATTTCTTTTTCGTGAAATATTGTTACATTATATAAACACTTATACTCTCGAACATCATATACATTATTATTATTATTATTATTAATGATCTTAATCAAGAGAATTTTATTGTAATGCCTTAATTAGTTTTTAACTAGTACAAATTTGAATACTTTTTAACTAGTTTGTATTAAATTTTTGTAAAATATTAAGTACTTAAAATATTTCTATTCTATAATTAAGTTTTTATCATTTTTTTAATTTGGTGACTTGTTTATTGTCATAACTATCGTCACCTTGTTTATTTGTGTTCTCTTATTCATAAAATATGAGATTTTGTAATTAATGTAAAATAATATAAAATTCTAATTAATATGAAATGATAAATGATTTTTATTATTTTCATTAAAGATAGTAAAGATTGTCCCTTACATTGGTGATAACCATAATTGTTCACTGAATGCTTATGATAAGTAATAATATAGAAGTCATTAAAACAAAATTTTTAATTAAAATAATAAAAATTACTTGAGATGGTAAATAAATACAATATTATTTATATTAATAAAAAAATCTCACAATTCTATATGGAGACAAATATGTTAATTTAATTAATACAAAAATTTAATGAAAAAGACTTAATTAAAAAACATTAAAAAGTTATACTCAATTAACAAAAAAAATTTAATAAAAATTTAATTAAAAATATCCCAGAGACCTTAAACTTAGTTTTATACTTATATTTATCATATAATTTTTATATAATGTTTCTTAAGATTGAAGTGTAAATATTGTCCAAAAATTGTGGTGAATGAAACATTACTCACATGATAACTGAAACTCGAAAGTAATATTTAGGAGCGATTCCTTGTAGCATTATCACTGAATAGACGAAGGTACAAGTTACGTTTGTTTCTCTCTCCAGATCTGTTTAACTTCTCACTTCTCACGCGTTTGAAATGTCCCACAAACTTTCCTTACTTCTCAAACATTGACAATGTCGTGCTGAATTACTGCATCTTTTCTTACTTCTCCTCTCTGCAGCTTCATTTTCTGCAAGATGGATCCGTCGCCATTGCTGTTTAGCCACCTCAAGGTTCGTCTTTTCTCGCTGATTATGAGTCTCTGGACTCTGAATTTTTCTGGGTCATGGGTACAACTTCTTTTTTTGAATTTTTTTAAGGGTTGTGTTTCTTGGAATCTCATCAGACTGCAGACCCGTTCTTCCTGCTAGCGGGACCTAATGTGATTGAATCAGAGGATCACATTCTGCGGATGGCTAAGCACGTCAAAAGCATTGCATCTGAGTATGTAGCTATCTTTATTTATGATTAATTTTTTTGTCTATGGGAAAATAAATGTCATTTGATGGAAATGCATTAGGACACTGCTACTATAGCACTATGAATTTTCAAACACGTATTAGGCGTTGATTTTAGAATAAAGTAGATTTTGGCAACTCAACTTAGATGTTTCCTTTTCATGAGAAAAAGATGGATACTGGAGTAATACTCATTGGTTTGTAGCAAACTTCTATTTTGTCTTCAGTATGAAGTTAAATATTTTCTCCTTCTTAATATTTAAAGTAAAAGCAAATTAGAGTAACACTGCATAAGATTTATTTAGGTTGTGCATGATCTTGTGTTTTTTCTTTTAATGTTTTTTGGGTATCAGGGGTGTTGATGTAGTATATTTCAAACAATTAGAGGTGGTCGTTCAAGATAAAAGAGGTAGGGTTATTGGAGGGGATTAAACGAAATCTCAGGGGGTATAAGTGTGCGTTACTGTTAAAGTATGGGTATGAATATGGTAAGAACTAATTGAAAAACTGTAAAATGACAAACACATGGTTTCCTGATGGTGCAGCAACTTACACATCATTGTCCAAGTTTAAATCGTGAATGAAAATGATAAGTAGATGTGATGTTAATTATTGATGGCTAACGAGAATATATGTGTGTCTTTCAGAGTTGGAATACCTTTGGTTTTCAAGTCAAGCTTTGACAAAGCTAACCGAACATCATCAAAATCATTTCGTGGCCCGGGGATGGTTGAGGGATTAAAGGTTCATATTTCTGCTGTTCTGTTATGATAATATCCCTTGTGGTTGGTATCTTGAGGATTCTAGGTGTTGTAATTGTCCAATAACTTGAGACTATATTAGATCTGTGTGAATTTTTCATGACTTTAAACTAACCCCAAAATATAGCTTGAGAGAGGCAGGGGTGTTTAGTTTCCAAATCATAGTAAGGGGTACTTTGGCCATATGTCCTGCTAATGATTTTAACACGGTCCTTTATGTTTTTTCTGGTTCCACCTATCCTCGAGATTCTGGAGTTAAATGTTGTCAGAGTTGGAGGTAGCTTCTCTACACTTTATTGCAGGGCCTTGAAAAATCTCATTTTTCTAGGTTCCTTGTAAGGACTTTCAAGGTTCTGAATTAGCAGTGATGTCACCTTGCAGTGCCAAAACGATAAGATATTATACTGGTGATACTAGTTGAATTTGAAGTCATCTTTGTAGTATGTTTCTTTATGACCTATATTAGCCGTTGATACTGGCACTGGTACAGTAATAGACATTTAGTGTATTTGTTGAAAATGTAAGTTACGTTACCTAAATCATCGTATTTGTGTTGGATGATGCTATTTATCCTAGTTGAACGTTTTCCTTTTCTTATTTTTCTGTTTTATTCTCAGATACTCGAGAAGGTTAAAATAGCTTATGACATCCCTATAGTGACAGATGTGCATGAGACCACCCAGGTAAAGTATTTAGTTTTATTCAATTCATATTTCATGGCCTTCTTGCAGGTGTTGAGTACTGACATTATTTGGCATACCAATCAGACTAGTTTGATTTTAATTATATGTTGTTTCAAAAGGATATCATTATATACTTGTTAGTGCCGAAATAAGGAAATGGCAAAAAGTTTTTCTTAATTGATTTGATAAATGGAATATGAGCATCATGAAATAGTTGATACCTGGTTTAAATTCGTATATGTTCTTCCCCTCGTGTAATCAGTTGATGTAGAACCAGTAACTTATAAAACATTTTGCTTGGATCTTTCATTGGTATGAAACTATATCTTGTAAATCCAAGTTTGGCTCTCTTATTACGTGATATTTTCCTTAACAATTTGTTGTACCCATCTAAATTTGAAAATTAAAATGTTTAGTGCCTTTATTTTTTTTTTTTAATGTTATCATATTGAATGATCAAATTTATTCTTCCAGTTTATAATTGTGAATGCTGTGTGGTATTTGTTATGTTAGATTCTGACTCATAATCTACATTGGACACATATCTTTTTTGCCAGTGTGAAGCAGTTGGCAGAGTTGCAGATATCATTCAGATTCCCGCATTCCTGTGTCGCCAAGTAAATAGATATTGCATTCAATTTCAATATCCATTATAATTGGCTATTAAAATTTAGTTGACGTGTCACCTTTACTTGTTTCATTCATTTTGCTTCTAATGACAGACAGATCTTCTAGTTGCAGCAGCCAAAACTGGGAAAATTATCAACATTAAGAAGGGCCAGTTCTGTGCTCCTTCTGTAAGTATACTATCCAACTTTATGAGTTACAATTTCAATAGTTAGCAATGACTTAACTTAAGTCTCGGAATTTGTGTCTACTGACTTTTACCATCATGGTTTCGTTGTTTTCATGTCTGTAGGTCATGGCAAATTCAGCTGAAAAGGTTCGGTTAGCTGGAAATCCTAATGTGATGGTTTGTGAGAGAGGAACAATGTTTGGATACAGTGAGTAATTATTGAGGTTTTCTGTATGTTTCTGAATTATGTGAATCTTACAAGAAACATTCAATAATTGTGATAGGCCTTTACTGGTATATAGTAGAAGGAAAACCGGTACACATACCGGTACACAACCTAACTGCCAAGGCAGTTAGAGTGGGTAGTTAGGAGGTTTGTATATAGGGGCTGAGAGGGTAGGTTGAGGGGTTAGCGAAGTAAATACTATTGGTTGTCAGGAACGTGTATCCTGATCGGGAGAGGTTAAGCTCTCTGCATTGTATCTTTGACTGTTTGATGGATAAAGAATCATTGTTTTTCAGTACTCTTGTGTTGTGTTTGAGTGAAGAGAAGTGAGTTACATTAGGTTCTTGATTAACGAACCTAACAAATTGACGAGTAATTGCTTTTATGTGGAGAAAATTATTGTTTTCCCTTTCAATCTCTAATGCTTCATTTCTAGAGCATTTTTCTGTACTGCAAGATGTGATTTGTTATATGCCCACCTGTTGTAAGCAGTCTTGTGTTCTTTTCGCTTGTCTAATTTTAAATTGAAATCTCAATTTTGTTTTACTAATCTGTTACCCGCCTTCTTGGCCTCTCATTTTTAATCAAAACTTCTAATGTATATTGCCTTAGAAAATCAATCATTGAAATCAATTGCTTTTTTGCATTTTTGTTTACAAAACCCAGAATGATTAAAATCTTTTCCTTTTTCATGCAGATGATTTGATTGTTGATCCACGTAACTTGGAGTGGATGAGAGAAGCCAATTGTCCCATTGTATGTAAACCTTTCTTTTATAGCATGCTTTAGGATAAATTATTTGAATATTTATATTCTTTCTTACTGAGTGAAAGATTAAAGTGGAGAAAGGGCATTTTCTTCCAGCAGCTTTTCTTGATGGCATTGTCTCAATCATTTATTTGATGAAAATATTTTAGTTGATTGGATGACAATTCCCTGTGAACACAATCAACCTGATACACAACTTTTAATATGGACGATGTTTCTTCAATTGCTTACCCTATGAACATTTTCTCTCATGCTGCCATCTCTCCTTTCTCTGCAACTCACACTGACTTAGGATAAGGTTGATTCCATAGTTCCTGAAAATATTTTTTTCTTCAGATGGATATATTACCCTAGTTTTAACATGTAGATGACTTTGATCAATTGTCTGTAGTAATATCCTTAAAAAGGTAGAACTAGAGTATTTTATTTTGAATATAAAATTCAAAGAATTGATTCTAGTGTGGTTTAGAGGGTATAATTCATTTTTTGTTGATCTTTTAGTCAAAGAGGTGTATTAACATTTCACTTTTTTGCAGTCTCAAATTTATATATTAGCTATTTACTCAATTTATGAATTAAAAAAGGAGGAAGCTAGAGTGCATGCATTTATTTTTAGTATTTATAAGAGTGAGACTTAATTTAGTTCTTTATTATTCCCTTATTACGTAGAACTATTCTTTTATGCAGTCTTTTATGTCAATTTAAATTTCCTCATGGTGATGTTTCTTGCACCTATCTTTGATGTTGTTTGGTTTTTGGAAAACCCAAATATTTGATGTTGGTGTTTGCCTCAGGTAGCTGATATAACACATTCGCTACAACAGCCTGCTGGAAAGAAGGTATGTTTACTATTGTTGACACTCATATTTGTTTGATATAAACTTCATTTTCAGCAGTCTATTTCATGTGATACAATTTTAGCTTGCAACATAAAATAGTGGAATAAACACTGCTGTAGTATTGGTGTTGACATTATCTGTTAGAATATTTGAATTATTAGTTTATTTTCCAAGTCTTATTATGTTAGCAGTCTTTTTGGGCTATAGGCTTATTTTAGTTTGCTACACTAAAACATGACCGAGATTACTAGTAAAACCACACAAGTAGGCTGTTTGCAGTATGTATTTTAAAATACAACACCTTAATCTTCTATCAGCCATTGACAAGTTTTTTTCTCCCCTTTTTCTTTCACATAAATCATCTCAATTTCAACCATCTCTTTTATATATTTGTGTTGGGCATGTTGGTATGTGAATATAGCATAGGCCAACTTTCACTCAATTTTGCTGGGAGAATTAAGGATCACAGTATTCAGATTTACATTGCCAAAAGTTCATGCATTGCTTCTATGCTTTGCTCATTTATGAGGAACTGAGAATCATTTAGTATCTTTGACCGATGAGATTTTCACTCTCTGTGTGTTTACTGTATAAACTTCTATGCTATGCTGCATTAATATGTTTAAGTATATTGACTTCTGTAGTTCAAGCTTTTCATTGACATTCTGAAATGACCTTTCCAAGTCTTACACCAGTTTGGTTGGATTAAGATTTTGTTTTCATGAATAGTTGGATGGGGGAGGTGTTGCAAGTGGAGGTCTTCGAGAACTAATACCTTGCATTGCAAGGACAGCAGTTGCCGTTGGAGTGGATGGGATCTTCATGGAGGTATAGAGAATAGGCTATGCCAATTATAATTTAGTAGTACTTTATAAAATAAGCTGTTTTAGAGTAAAATTTCATCCATATAATTTTCGCTTGCAATTCCAATATCTTCCATTCAAAGAGTGTCTTTATCTGTTTAGTTTGTTATCGCTGAGCTTCTAAAAGCTTTCTTGGGCTTTCAGGTGCATGATGATCCACTGAATGCTCCTGTTGATGGACCAACACAGTGGGTGAGTTGTTGCTTATCGCAGTTATTCAGATTAATACACATAATATCCTCGATATTTGTTTTCCTTTGGATGTTCCCTGTATTTTTTTTTTAAACTAGGGCACTTAATGAACTATGTTCAAAATCCTCTTATGTGACAGCCTTTGCGCCATTTGAAGGAGCTGCTTGAGGAGCTTGTAGCTATTGCTGTAAGTTGTTACTTGAAATTTATGATTCTAAGTCGTATGATATAACCTCTAAATAGGCAATTGGGAAGAGTCTTCATACCCCTACTGCCTAGGAAATATATTATTGAAAATATATCAAAGCTTGTTTGTTATTAAACATCTTACCAACAAAGATGATAATAAATCCTCTTTTAGGATAAATTTCCAACTCAATCTATTCTGTTCTGTGATTGGGAGGTTGGTTGATGAGATTGGTACGTCAAGAAGGTTAGGGTTCTAGTTATGAGATCAATGGTCATTGACCTATAAGAAAAAAAAGGGTTGATAATGAATCTGTTTTTTATTTTTGAGTTAGATCTTCAACAAGCTGAATTTTTCACTCTCTTGAGTGAATCCTAAGTTGGTCTTGGAGATCAGAAGATTGTTACACTTACGCAATATTAAAAGGATTGAGCTTCTCAGTTTTCTATCAGTATAAAAAATTTAATGGACTTATGTGATTGGTCTATATTCCATATTAGAATAAGTTTGAAAATAAACAAACTCCTCTTGAGTTCAACTTTTCAAAGAGAAATACTACTTACTGGCAAATTCAACTTCCTCAAAGGAAAGGATTTAATCTCTAGAATTTGGATGTGATGAAAAATCAGAATTCCTAGTTCAGCTGATGTATATTTTATATATATGAAAAAAAAGGAAGATTACGTTATATGGAAAAATTTTATCTTGTAACATTCAATCCTTTGTACCCTGTGTTGGTATGTAAGGAGAGGAGGTGGAACAATGTCAAACTGGTTTTCGGTTGGTTGGAGTCAATAAGCTGCTATGTAGTTTTGAACCTGAATTCGACTAACTCCAGTTTGATATCTTGTAGAAGGTAAGCAAAGGGAAGCAACAGTTCAAAATTGACCTCACGCCATTTCGTGAATGATGGTAAGAAATGCTTTTCTTTCACCATATATTCATTTATATTTTTGTTTCTCCAGCTAGTTAAGGTCCCTTTTTCTTTGTTGATTTTTGACTAAAATTATAACCTGCAAGTATGTGATTTCACATCTTATTGTGAAAGCATGTTCTTAAAGCCATTTTCACAGGGTCTAAAGGCAAAATATTTAACGTACTACATGAAATATCCATTGATAAAGATAAAATCAAATTTGAACTTTAAAAGTCAACCATTTGTACAAGTTATCCATACACTTAATTAAACACTGAGCAATCGCTAGATTGTTATCAAACTTACGGAAACATCGAATGAGATTTTAAATAACCAGAAACTTATAATGCAAAACACGACCAGGAATGCAATGATGAATTCAGAACTAATTATCCTATTGTGATTTGAGATAAATTGGAAGTGATTTTACCTATTTTAAAGTATAAATGCATACACATCTTCTAACCCGAACTTTGTTTGCAGGTGATGGCTTTCGGTCGTGCTGAATATGATTATGTGAGTTTTGATCTTTTAAGATTGCTCAAGGTTGAATCTATGCTTGTTACTCTGAAGGGGTAACAGCACCAACTAATGTTGGTCAAATATCATGTGTAGCCTAAATCATATCAATTGTTAAAGATGAGACAATTAATTGAACACTGTTTATTAACTAAATTTATTCTCAGGAGATTAATTTATTATTTTCTGCCATTTCTCCAAGTACTTTCTTGAACATTTTCAAGCCGTTACTAAAATATCACGAAGTAAATTGGGTCTGGTGTATAAAATTTTAGCCAAGTAGCTTAAGGATATTCTTTACTTTTTTGGAGAAATTTCAGAACTGATAATAGAGGATGAGTAAATAGTCTACACTACTGTTGTGTTCGTATGGAAGGATGTACATTTAAGACAGATAGATATGCCACTGACCATTATGTTTGATTGTAACTATTTGAGTGTGAGTGCGATCTAGGATTTGCAAGATTGGAAAGAGATTTAATCTTCACATAGGGAAGGAGATTTGGAGGTGAAGAGTCAGATTTTACAGTGTTACCCTTTCACATGAAACTATTGCTGTCCATGAGGCAGATGATATTCATAATGTTGGAACCGATTCCAGCATATACTGTATCCCCAACTTTATTGGTTTGATTTTCTAACTTTTTTTTTTGCATTGTTTTGAAGATTTTAATAATAATAATAAATAATAATAATAATAAAGATAAAAAAGTAATATTACATTTTAATTTATTAATTATTTTATTTTATTATATCTGTCAAATCTTTTACAAATTTTATTTTCAAATTTACTCATTTTCACCTTCAAATCTTTTAAAAAAACACAAACTTTATTTTTCAATTCATCTGCCAGTTCTTTCTTAAACCCATCTTTTTCATGTGAATAATACAACCTAAGAATAATAAGTTTAAGATTTCAATAATAAATATTTTAAATGTTCTTTTTAATATTTATTTTAATGAATGACTTAGTAAAATGTTTTACACTCAGTACATAAAATATGAATTCAATTGACAATATTTTAAAATAACGAATTAGGATATATGTCTTGTTTAGTGTGAAGATATTGTAGGAAAATAAGAAAATAAATTATTGGAAGAAAAAAAAGAAATAAATTATTACAAGAAAAATATTTTTTAGATATTTAAATGTAATCAACGTTGACCTAATGCATTCTTGGGATGAGGTATTAGAAAGAAAAGAAAAAGGAAAAAGAGGAAGATTTTTCTTTGTTTCATAATCAAAATTCTCCATACACAAGGAAGATAGAAATTCGAAGAAAAAATATCACATAATTATTTTAAGCTGGAAAAAACTGTTTACAAAGTAAAGAAAAAGCTCGTAAAACGAGATATAATAAAGAAGCAAAACTTAGTTTTCTCCAAACTTGCCGTTGAAAACTAAAAAAGATTTACACTATAATAAGTTATAACGGTATATATAATTGATTACCTAGCTAATATTTTATTAATAATTAATTAACTTAATTTATAAAGTAGTTTATTTTAATATATCAATATTTGGTTTAATCATATAGACTTTTCCTATTTCTTATGACTTTTTTTGTCCTTTATTTTTTTCTTCAATTGAGTATTTATTTTGGAAAATTAAAGTAATTAGGTTAATTTTATCATGTGATGTTTTAAATACTCTTTTAATTATTTTTTATTTTATAGAAATTTAAAAATAATTATCATATCAAACTGAGATGGTGTTGTGTGAAACGAATCGAATTGAGTTGAATCAAATTGAATAGAATTAAGTTGAGTCAAACCAAGTTGAATCAAATTCAATCGAGCTGAGTCAAACTGAGTCAAGTCGAACCAAGTTGAACTAAATCGAACTGAGTAGAGTTGAGTCGAACTGAATTAAACTGAACTGAGCCTAGCTAAGTTGAATCGAGCTGAGTCGATCATGTCGAATGAGCTTAGCCAAACCTAGTCAAACCAGCCGAAATTAAATCGAATTGAATTGAACTGAAATGAACTAAAACTGATTGAACCAAACCAAACCGAACTAAATCAGATCATGCCAAACAAGTTGAGCCAAACAAATCGATCCAGCCGAATCGAATCGACTACAGTCAAAAGCGACAAAATTTATTCGAAAGTACCCACCAGTGTAAATATTTTTAGCATTCCTGCATTGATGAAATTGTTATCTTCAAAGAAATTCTTTAGGTATAAATCCAAGAGAGCTTGTATCTTATTTGTCTTTATTGATTTTATATATTCTGATGTCGTCATCGTTTTCTAATTTTTTTTCTTACAACTTTTTGCCTAATTTAGCTTATTATAATGTTTTTATATCTTTTGACCTAAGTTTTGTTCCTCCAGGTCTAATTTGTTTCATATTTTAGTGTTTTTATACTTTGAATTTAATATATCTCATTCAATTTTTTATTTATTTCTGCTAATCTTGTCTGTCTCACAATGTTAGTATCTTTATTTTTTAAATTTAATTAATCTCATATCTTTATACCTAATTTATCTCTTATTCTATTTTATTAATTGCATATTTTATTTAATTTTCACCCTACAAAACATTCTTAATAACCACATGCCACTTATTCCTTTCCAAGGGTTTTGCCTTTGCTTTTGAGTTTGTTCCCTATTTGATTCTCAACCTCTCTCTCTCTGTGCTTTTTTATTGTCTCCCTCTTCTCCAAATTTCTTATCCTTTTTTCGCATTTTGTTTCACTTCAATTTTCATTGGTCTTCGACTTTAACCCTTCCTTCCTTCTTCTGCGAATTAGGGTTTTATTTTCAATTGGGTATTTTTTCCTCCGGGGATAGTTTCCTCGATCTGCATCAATAACTCTGCGACAATGCCTCCGAGGGTAGTGAAGAGAGGCGCTGCAGCGAAGAGGGCGTCGAGAGGATCCTCGAAGGCTGCACCTGATAACCAGCGTGAGCCAGAAACTGCTGAAGTGGAGGCCAAAAATCATGCAGAAAATTCAGCTGTTGATGTTGGAATGGAAGAAAAACACTTTGACGTGGACCAAGAGCTTCCGGAAGCCCCAAATGGGTCGGCTAAGGTGGAAAGTAAGTCTCTTTCTTTATTTAATTTATATATTTTTGAGATTTTTTATTTGGATCTTTGGAGGGTGAGATGCGTGCAGTGTTATATGTATTTCATTATTTGCTGCATGTTCTGAATTATGTGTCATGGGGATTGTAGAAAGTTCAAAATTTTACTTGGACTTTAAGGCGGGGGTCGTGTGAATTTCGGTTCTGCAAAGGTTTTAAATCGCGGTTGTAATTATGGTCATAGCTTCCTCCCAATACTTCACACTGGGGAAAATTGGAGACAGTTGTGGTTTCATCACAATCGAAGGTTGTGGTTTTCTCACAATCCTTGGCATGTGGGAAATTGCAGACATGGCGGTAGTTATTGTTTCATCACAATCATTGGCTTTGCGGAAAATTGCAGACAAAGATGACCACAGCTGTGGTTGACAATTGTGAGATTGTGGAGAGCCCCAAAACCTTGACGATGCAGCCATAATTATGATTTCAGACAGTTTTTTAAAGCCTTGTGTTCTGCATCCGTGTATTGGTTCTTCGTCAATATCTTAATTTGATTAGGAAATAACTGGTGAAAATATAGTTTGGTTGTGGTAAGGAGAAATTGATACAGCCCGTCCACCCAAACCATTTTTGAAAATTATGGAAAACATTCTTACGATGTATTAGTTTGGATGGTGCTGCCTCTTATTGCTCCTTTTTGTATTCATTGTGTAACTTAAGATGGAAGCCGTTATATGGGATGGATATGCTACGAAGATGGGTTTTATTTATTGATTTATTTTTTCTATAGTTCCTTTCCTGATGCATATTAGTGCTGTGTTCTGCACTGGTGGATGTATTAGACCAAGAATGATGAGGATTGATTGCGAAACACGGACTTCCTTATTTTATTAATTAATGTGATGATAGAAGGGTTGTGTATTTGACTGGGGTTTTAAATATTTATTTTTTGGCAGACAATGAAGAGGAGGTTAAGGAGTCTATAGATGAATATGAAAAAGGTGAACATTTAGATTTAGAGGATAATTATCCTGAGTATGAAGCAGAGGATTATGGTGGTGTTGACTATGATGAAAAGGAAATTGAACAAGATGAAGGTCAGGATGAGGCAGATGAAGTAGAGGAAGAACCTGAAGAGATTATAGGTGACGAAGAGGGTGATACAGGTGATGAAGAAGTTGAATATGTTTATGAAGAAGTTGAGGATGACGATGATGGTGAACATGCTGGTGAGGAGCATGAGCATGATGAGCATGCCCAGGTGCCTGACGTGGAGGAAGAGGAACACCGCGAAGTTGTAAAGGAGAGGCGAAAGCGTAAGGAATTTGAAGTATTTGTGGGGGGACTAGATAAGAATGCTACCGAGCATGATCTGAAGAAGGTTTTCAGCAAAGTTGGGGTAGTTACTGAAGTCAGGCTGATGATAAATCCCCAGACTAGAAGAAACAAGGGATTTGCATTCTTGCGTTTTGAAACTGTTGAGCAAGCAAAAAGAGCTGTGGTGGAGCTAAAAAATCCAGTGGTAATTTTTTATCTTATTGTTTAAAGCAGGTTTAAAATTGCTAGCATATTAAATCGTGTTTTTATTGCCCCAATTTCAGATTAATGGTAAACAATGTGGTGTTACTCCAAGTCAGGACAGTGATACTCTCTACTTGGGTAACATATGCAAGACTTGGAAAAAGGAAGCTGTAAGTTTTTCTCTTGGTCTATTTCTTGCTGCCTTTGATACTCAAGTTATCCTTTCTAGTATTATTTCTTGCCACATTCGAGGCTTGACTTACTGCTAATTGCAACTTCTGGTGCCAGTTGAAGGAGAAACTAAAACATTATGGAGTAGAAAATGTGGAGGATTTGACTTTAGTAGAAGATGATACCAATGAGGGGATGAACCGAGGATTTGCATTTTTAGAGTTTTCATCTCGTTCAGATGCTAAGGAAGCCTACAGGAGATTGCAAAAGAGAGATGTTGTGTTTGGAGTTGATAAGCCTGCGAAGGTTTCCTTTGCTGATTCCTTTATTGATCTGGGTGATGAAATTATGGCACAGGTATCTTTATGAATCTGATTTCCTTGCTTTTGCCAAGGGTCATTACATAGGAAATACAAAAAGTATGGTTCTTTGATCTTATGGAAGCATAAAATCTACATTGACTTCCAACG